AGAGACAGCTCTCTCTCTCTCTCTCTCTCTCTCTGTGTGTCTGAGTATCATCTCGGTGCTCTCGACAGGAGGTTGTGAGTTCCAGCCCCATCAGATACGGATATTCGCGTACATACTCTTTGAGTCTTTGGTGTGTGTGTGGTCTCTCAGGCTCCTTTTTTTTTTTTTTTTTTTTAAATGGGAACAAAGCTCCAATCTATTCGTGGGGAGCAACACGTGCTGGGAACGGGGCGCAGCGTCCCATATAGGAAATAGGCTCCTGTGATTTTTTGTTGTTCATTCTGCTTTTCTGCTTTTCTGCTTTCTGCTTTCTTCTTTCCGCTTTATGCTTTCCGCTTTCTGATTTCTGATTTCTGCTTTCTGCTTTCTGCTTTCTGCTTTCCTGCTTTCTGCTTTCCGCTTTCTGATTTCTGATTTCTGATTTCCGCTTTCTGATTTCTGATTTCTGCTTTGTAAGCATCTGTGTGAGGCAGTGCTCGTATGTTCGTGTTTTTTTTTTTTTTTTTTTTTTTTTTTTTCCCAATACGATTGCGTGCGTCACGAAGCGGTTGTATTGGTGTATGGCAGTTCTTGCTCCTGTGTGCCCGGCAGTTCTTCTCTTTCTCTTTCTCGTTCTCGTTCTCGTTCTCTTTGTTGTGCAGCAGTTCTCGTTCTCTCTTTCTCTCTGGTGTCCATTCTGCTTTCGGCTTTGGAACCAACTGCAACTCAGCTAGGTCCGAAGAAAGTTTTTCGAAACGACGAAGGAAAAAAGGAACAAAAGAGAAGAAGGAAAAAAGGAACAAAAGAGAAGAAGGAAAAAAGGAACAAACTGGGCTTGAGTAAGATACCGTAGCTCCGTTGGTACACAGTCCTCAACTGTTGAAATACAGAGCTGAGTTTAAAACTCTGCTCAAAGCAGATGAAGCCCACGAGTATAAAAAACTACTGCAAATATATTTGGAATCGAAAGAAGGACGTGTCATGCAATCAGATGCAAACTTAATGCCATATTATCGAAAAGTCAGAGAAAACGGCTGTTTTGGTACAAAAGAATTACAAAAAAAAAGAAGAAGAAGAAGAAGAAGAAGAAGAAGAAGAAGAAGAAGAAGAAGGTGAAATTGAAGCGACAACGGGCCTCTCTCGACTACTGTAATAGTAACTCTCGAAATGTGCAAAAAA